ATGAGATATATATATTGTAATCCATGGCTACCTTATTATATCTAAAAAAAATGAACCACACACATTTAAAATTTATGGTTAAGTGATATTTCTAGTATGTAAACCTTTTGTTTTAATGTTATTTTCTGTCTGCTGAGCCTTTTACAGGTCAAGTGAATGTACAGTAAACAGTGCATATTGTCACAAGAGATACTTTGCTTTTTTTTTACCTCATGTACATCACCTACTTCAAGTACTTAAAAAGCTTTACGATGTAAAACTAATTTCTTATGCCTTCATTTCTTTTTTTGTAGTGATGCCACTTATTTGTAGTATTTTACTCTTTTAAAACGTCAGAATTACATAACTATATCATTTTGTCTATCTGTTCACATATTTTTTTCTAATTAGATGCTATGATTTGTTACTCGGTACTTCAACTTGACATCAACTGAAAGGTCCCAACAGAGAAGCTGGTATTGAAGTCAATATTACCCCCCGATCAAACCTCAAGAGTCCACAAATACTGCTCTAGCCTGTAGCCACTAAGATGCAGCTTTCTGCTGCTGCACTCTATTGAGTTTATCTGTTCTGTTTGGTGTTAGTTGATTGTTCTGTTTGGTGTTAGTTGATGTGATGGCAGTGATGTATGTTTATGCTTGCATGTTGTGCAGGGCAAGAACCTGCTGAAAAACTGTATTTGTTCTGAGTCAGGCCAGATTATTTTTTAATCTTGTCTTGAGTTTTTTTTTTTTTTAATAAAACAAATAAATAAAAATGTTATTTCTGATAAGGGTGCTTATTTATCCTGTCAGAGTCATGGCAGAAGCTTGTTTGTGGCAGTAAAAAAGCATGTGGGTTCTAGCTTATGCACCAGGGCCAGATTTAGAAGGATGTGGTTCCCTGGGCTGGACCCTGTTTGGTGCCCTATCCACTAAGGGAGAAATATTTTATCAAGGGAAATTACAGTAAATTAATACATATTTTTCATGTGACATCACACTTTCAGGAACTCTGTAGCTGGAAGCCATCTTGATAGGTATCTCTGTCTAACTGTCATGACAGTTGCTATGGAGTTGCTATGACAACAATAAACAAGCCACAATCTTAGAACTAGCCCTCGCCTAGTTTCTATCTAATTAATAAACAACATAAGTACATTGCAACTATTACTCGATTACTCAATTTTGAGTACTCTTCTTTCATTTTGTTGGTCTCAAAGCCATGGTTCATCTATGCTTTGCACTACGCTTGCCTCCCAAGATGGCGGTTAAGTGGCGTGGATCACTTCCAGCTCTGACTTGTGGGACAATAACTCCATGTTGTTCCAAAGAAACTGACTGTAACTTCATAAAGATCCAATACTTCAATATACTGTCTATATTCATAAAAATAACAAAATATTAATGGAACTCAAAAATCGCAGCCCTCTGCTACTGCCCCTGTAAGCTCTTTCTCAAGTCTGGCTCAGCACCATACAGATGGTTGAATTGGATCACATGTGGATCAAAAATAATATAATATAAATCTAAACTCTAAACCTAATTGATTTTTTTCTAGTATTTTAAGTAGATTGTTATATAATGATCCCACTCTGAGAAAGGCTAGCTAATTAACAGCTCCAAATTAACATGACATTCACGATGATGATGGGTGGATGAACATTTCTTTACTGCGAAAAAGACTCTTTCTGTCAAACTATATCACTGTAAATATTCCTGCTAAATATGCGGTCTTTATCTCCGCGACATGTCCGTATTTTACACACAACACATCAGTGTCCCACATTCACATGACATCATAAGCTGGCGAGGTGCAGCAGCAGCAGCAGCGAGCCATTTCCTTCAGTTTGTCCGTCCTCACACTAATCACGCACCAAACCAGCAGGACACACAAAAACAGCTTCGTTCCGGACGCTAATCTCGACTCGCTGCCCGTGCGAGTCGGCGGAAGACGAGAAAATAAACAGGGACAAATTACGGGGAATCGCTCGACTCCGTCTTTATAGTTCACAAGCTGCAGCTCGCGGTGATCAGAGACAAAAGCGAACCGTCCCGACAGGAACCGACCCTCAACTGGAGCGGCCGAAAGTCAGCAGGCGGGCGAGCTGGGACTGAGACAGCGCAGCGTGGAGGACGCGGTGACTTTCCCAAACGTTGTTACAAACAACCGCGCTCTGCAATACACGCGGAACTACGCAGCCATTGGTGCCGTGTCAAATGCCGGGTCCAGGCGCCCGCCAAGCCAGTGGGTTCCATAGTGTAGCGGTTATCACGTCTGCTTTACACGCAGAAGGTCCTGGGTTCGAGCCCCAGTGGAACCAAGCGATTTTTTTTTTTTTTTTTTTTTAAAAAGGAAGCGAAAATTCATCGTTTCCGGCTTTTGGTCAAAAATTAAAACGCGTACAAATCTGATGAAAACTTACAGTTCAAATGTTAAATTGTGCGTGGGCTGTAAATGTTTTTCATGGTTCTCTGGATCTGACCGATTTCCAGAGCAGTTATTGTGGTCATTTTTTTGTTTTTAGTGCTTCTGTTTCTAGTCTTTCCCCTCCTGGTGTCCCTGGTCGCAGCAGATGGCTGCCCTGCCTGAGTCTGGTTCTGCCAGACATTCCTACCTGTTAAAACGGCGTTTATTCTCCCTTGTTGCCAAGGGATCGCTCAGAGGGAATTGCTGAATTTCTTTGCATAAAAATGTCCTGGGGATACTTTCTGCTATATATTAGTGCAATATAAACAGTTTGCCCTATTTTTTTAACAATAATATTATTTTGGGGTTGAATAATTTTTCTACTTGTACACCTGAATTTCCTCACTGGAAGATATTTATACTATATTTTTCTGCTCTATTAACTACGGACATCTGAATTTGTGAGACAATAGAAACACAACCTTCTTGGCTCAATATTAACAGAACCTGCTAGTTTTTTCTTTCTTTACTAATTAATTTAGAAACTATTTCTGGTCTGTTTGAAAGAAAAAGTGAAAAAAGACACTTTTTAACTAAAGTTTATAGTTAAAATAGGTTAACTATATATGTTTGTTTGGCTTTTCAAGAGAGTAATACATTGTCAATCTCCATTATTTATTGGTGTCCAACTTCCTGATAAACAGACAATGTCTCCAGAACGAATGTATTTATGTACAAACTCATTATAACTATAATGTCATTCTTTCTTTATGCAGAAGTCCTGAGTGATCAATCTTTTCTATAGATGTAAGTACACTTTACTGCAATTTTTGAAACTGCACTCGAGCAAAAGCTTTTCAGAATCCAGAATGTTTTTTCATGTATAAATGTATGTATCAGGACATACTTTTAAAATTTGCTGGACTTTCTGGAGTTTAAAAATCATTCAAATCTAACTTTAAGTATTCAGAAACATAAAAATATTTTTGTAAAATCTAAGTACTTCCCTGGTTTCTCACTGGTTTTAGGTGGGGGAAGTATCAGGTGTTGCTGTTTAATTACTGAGCATCAGCAAGGGTTGCCTCCTCTGTTGGCAGGTGTCTGTTAACACGATGCAGTGAGGAAAACATCAGCGATGACCATAGAAAAGCACTAGTTGCTGACCATCATTCTGGCCCAAAAATTATAGAGGAAAGAAACAGGAAGTAGCAGCAAAGGTAAACCCAGCAAAGATTGCAAACAACCAACAACCTCAAAACCCACAGGCCTCAATTAGCATGTTAAATGTCAAATGAGAGAACAACACAATTAAGATAAGACTGTCAATCTGCCTTAGGTTTGGCAATATTAATCCCTGCAATGTTCTTTGAATAAATGAGACAAAGTAAAGCTTTTTGGCAATAATACAGAATACCATGCTTAAAGGAAACCAATTATACCATGTAATCAATATGTCAACTATCAATTCCTCTGTATACCAATAAACTGAAAATATTATGTCATCTGTCTGACCTTTGAAATCTGACAAAAACTGGGTCATGAAGCAGAACAATAGTCCAAAACACAGTCACAAATTGAAATAAATCAACAAATTGCAATGGCCCAGTCAAAGTCCAGACCTCAGCAGGATGGGAATGCTGTGGTAAGACATGCATGTAAGCAATGTTGTTGTTTTTTTTACAATGTTAAATTTCAATGTACTTCATTGAGATTGTATGTGATGTCAGAAAAGCATCAAACATTTTTCACAAACAAAACTTTGAAAAGTGTGGCAAGCATTTACTCACTCACCTGTCAAATAATCAATTTCTTTTGTAGTTGCTTTAATTTAAACAACCGCTTTGTTGTTTAAATTAAAGCATAGATATGCATTTGTGTGTTTATAGTTGTGCTAAATACAAATACAACTACAAACCACACTTGATATTTTTATTTGTAAAGAAAATCCAAACAAAATATATCCTTGTATCTTTTCTGTCACTTCACAACCATCAAATCCAAGATTGTAGTTATAATGTGATGGAATGTTAAAAAGTTAAAGCGGTATAAGTATTTCAACAATAGATAAACTGATATGAAATAATTTTTTTCTGCAGATTTAATGTATCTGCAGAAATGCAGATACATTAAAAGTCTCGGTCTGACTTTTATCAGCTGTTAACTGTTAACCAACCGCAACTCCCTCCTGATCTTTTAACGGCTGCTGTTTACCGGCTAACCGGCACATAAAAAAGCATTAAACATAAAACAACTACTGACCTAATCTTCTGCTCTGTTGCGGAAAAGCTGCGTCTCCATCGTTCAGTTCACCTGGTTGAGTTTTTAGGAAGGAAAACGTGACTTTGTAACCGTCCATCTCTCTGTTTCTATGCTGGGGCGGAAAAACAGAAGGCAGCAACGGTGACCGTAGCAACAGCGCCATCTGGGTTCTAATGGAAAGTGACTACCGGTTCTGCTCGGCGTTGGTCGACGTTAATAACGGAATAAATTAAAACTCTCGGGGATCGGTTCGTCACATTTTTCAAGCTATCGAGAGAGGTCGCGCTGCCGCTGGTGTTTGAGCGCGGCGCCTCGTCTAACAACCGGATGTTGTTTCCTGCTGATTTCCTCCGGTGCGACGTTCATTGTGGTCCCCAAAATGGCGAACGTTGCTGCAGCTACCGTGGCCGCTGCGGCCGCGGCTGCCGCCGCCAACAGAGACCCGGCCGTGGATAGGTCACTACGATCAGTTTTCGGTGAGTCCAGCTTTAATAGATGCGGCCAAAGCATGAAACAGTAAAATAAACCAGCTAACGAGTGGAGACCTCCTAGCTTACTCATATGGCCATGTAGCGGAGGAACAAACGATGCTAATAAGCAAATAGCTTCATAATTTGAGATGTTAGCTTTTTTTTAATTCATTCAATATTCTGTAATGTTTCAGTTGGAAACATTCCATATGAAGCCACAGAAGAGCAGCTGAAAGACATATTTTCTGAAGTAGGACTTGTTGTCAGCTTCAGGTAAGTAAAGGAGAAACATTACAAGGATTAAAGTGCACATAATTGTCTCCATCAATTGTTTTTCTGTAATATAAATGCCTCTAAGTAAAGTAGAATATGTCAGACAAGGCAGCTGATTTTTGTAACTTAATTAAATTAAAACTCAAATTTGGAATATTGCATACAAAAATGTCATATAATGCACAATCCTGGAGAACATTGTTGACCTAGCAGGAAGTTGGATGCAAGAAAGGTAAAGTTCGTGCTATTCAATATTTACTTTGGGGGGAGATTCAACAGGTGTGGAGTTAAACTTGAACATGGGCTACAACTCCTGCATACCTTTTCAATTATTCTGAAAAAGAAACATATCGCATGTGTCAAACTCAAGGTCCAGGGGCCAAATCTGGCCCGCCGTAACTTCCTACGTGGCCTTCTAGACTCCAAATTGCTTCAATAAAAACCTCCAGGTTTTCACAAATTGACAGAGTCCCATATTTTTTTCTGATTTTACTAAAAAGCTTTCCAAACACATTTGGTTTAAGTGACTGTTGCCACAGCTTTATTCGATGTCAAGTTATGTCTGTGACCGACACAGCGATGAATAAAAAGTCACATTTAACGTCATATATTAGCTCAAATATCATAAAAATTTCTTACAAGTATTTCTAGATTAGCATGACAAAATCTGTGATTGCAGAAAAAATACAAAAACAATCACAAAATCCTGGATGGACTGGTCAGTGTGAAAAGATGTTCAATATTAATTAATTTGAAGATTTGCTTATTGAATGCTAAAACAGGTATTTATTGATAATTTAACAATTTAATGGGTTTTATCAGTACAATCTGACCCTTTATAAGAACATTCAGATTTTTATATGGCCCAAAATTAAAATGAGTTTTCACCCCTGCTGTATATAATTAATATAAATGAAGTTTATTTTTTAAATTGAATTATTTAAACAAAAGAAATCTTCTCTTTGATGCCGTAATTCATTGATATGTGTCATCTGTTGCTTCTTTGATGGTGTAGATGTTATTGTGAGTGTATGTCCCTTGTTTTTCTCAGGTTAGTGTATGACAGAGAGACAGGAAAGCCAAAAGGATATGGCTTCTGTGAATACCAGGACCAGGAAACGGCGCTCAGCGCCATGAGGAACCTGAACGGGAGAGAGTTCAGTGGTCGGGCTCTCAGAGTCGACAATGCAGCTAGTGAAAAAAATAAAGAAGAGCTCAAAAGTAAGTTACTGCTTATTTCTGAGCAGTAACTATGAAGTCTATGTAAACTTTTTTACATAGACTTCATAGTTAAAGCAAAGGAGATGTGGTTATAATTTCTGTCTTTGTGTGAAGAAACAGTTCTTCCTTTTCTGCACAGGTCTGGGGACTGGAGCCCCCATCATCGAGTCTCCTTTTGGAGACAGCGTGTCGCCAGAGGAGGCTCCAGAGTCCATCAGCAGAGCTGTGGCGAGTCTTCCACCTGAGCAGATGTTTGAGTTGATGAAACAGATGAAGGTACGTTAGTTTACTGGATCTGTCCAAACTTTCACAGTTAATACATAAAAAAACTGAGCTTAAATGTAGCGAGAACTCTGCTGCTGAACGTCTGTAATTGTATGAAAGTTTGACTTGGAACCTGCATCTTTGTTTACCTCCTTTTGTGTATTTTGAAGCTTCCTTCCAGTGTGTACTTTTTAACCTAATGTTTTATTTGTCTGATTTGTGAAATGTGATTTCTTTCCCCAGCTGTGTGTACAAAACAGCCCCCAGGAGGCGAGAAACATGCTGCTGCAGAACCCGCAGCTGGCCTACGCTCTGCTGCAGGCGCAGGTCGTGATGCGGATCGTCGACCCGGAGATCGCTTTGGTGAGAACTAGCAATAGTAATAAGCAATAGATCAATTAATTGCATGACAAATTAAAATGAGCTCAATTATTACCATTTGCATGATTTGTCGTTTTTCTCTTTTCTCTCTTTCTACCAAAAACTGAAAGTCTTCAGTCTGTTGCTTTGGTCTCAACTAGCCCCTTTTTTATTATATAATTACATTTATTTGTTGATTCTGTTTGATTTGTTTTGCTTATTTACTTTGGATATTTCAAATGTCTCCCAGTTCAAGTGTTAAATCAGAATTTAAAGTTTATTGATCTTTGAGAATGTGTTACGGCTTTATTATGCCATTCCAATTATAATACCTGAAAATGGTCTCAAAACAACAATATTATCGTTTATCGCAAAGAAAGACAAACAGGTTGTTCTTCATGGCAACATTTGGAATTGGAGTTGTGTATTAAGATTTTGATGAAACTGCTTGTCGTTTTTGTACAGAAAATGTTGCATCGTCAAACAGCTGTTCAGCCTCTGGTGTCCAGCAGTCAGGGTGGAGGAGCACCACCTGTCAATCCTCCTGTTCAGCCCAATGTGCAGGTGTCTCAGCCACAACCTGTGGTAAGATAAACGCCAACCCTCTCTCCAGCTCCAGTCCTCACGAGCGACTGTCCTGCAACATTTAAGGGCCTTCCTGCCCAAACACGCCTGAATCTAAAAATGGCTCGTTGCCAGAGCTTTGCAGAGCTAAATGAGGAAATCCAGCCAATTATTTTATTGTAATTTCTATTGTTCTGTCAATACTTCAACAAAATACAGCAGTAAAACCCTGACTCCAAATCGCCCACCTTATTAATCTGAGCTTTGTCTCATTATCAGCCAGTCATGCATGTGAATGGAGCTCCTCAGATGATGCAGCCCGCCAACATGGGCGTTGTCCCCAACATGCCTGTACCGGGCCCAGTACCAGGACCCGGACAAATCGGACCTCCAGGTATTCGCTTTTTGTTTCTTACTTTACTACCTCGAGGCTTCCCATAGTGAGGATTGCATTGCATTGTGGGATGTGGTCGAGTAAATATGCTAATAAACAAAAGTCATGCATCATTTTTGAAGCATAAAATTCAACTTTCAAGACATAATCTCAAAAGTATTTTCTATGCTTCTCAGATTACAATGTTAATAATATGCAGAAACATGCTGGTGATGAGATTAAACTCGTCCCACTTTCTGCTTCGATAGAAAACACAGAATCTGCTTCCTGTATTTACATTTGGCTCCTTCGACCCGACACATCTGACCAGCAAACAAACTGAACGTTCTGGCTTGTAGTGACTGGTTCTGGTTCGCCTGGAGTTTCTTCCAGGCAAAACAAAACTCCAAGAGAATCACAGAAATAAAACGTCCAATGAAAAGTTAACAAACTCAACAGCTGATTTAGGCCAAAGTAAACAAGCTACAGATCACCCAAATCACCTTAAAAATGTGCAAGGCTTCCTTTTTAAAACTAACAAATCTAAAAATGTAACATTTAGCATCAAAAAGTTTAGCACAAATGCAGTTCAATTATCATAAATTCAGAAAGTATTCAGGCTTCAAAGACAGTTTTTAATATCGTTTACATTAAATCGTTAAATCATTTTCCTGTTTTTGGTCTGTGAGGATTCCCAAGATTATTTCTATTTGCTAAATACCAAAATAATGCACATTTTACATGGATATTTTTTAAGCTCTCTTCAGATTTATATACATTTCTTATGGTCCTTCTTCATCTGGAAGTTGCTCTGTTGATGTTTTGAGATCTTGCCTCAGGTCTTCCTGCAGACAAAACTTCAGGTTTCATAAAATTGCACCCAAAGTTAAATCTGAGAGGTGAAGGCCCACATTTCTATATAGTCAGATGTCATACATAGAGAGGGTGTTGCACTGAAGCACATCCACAAGTGTGTCTATTTTTAACTTATCAGAAGCTCAGGAAGTTGTGACATCATCACCATCTGTCTCATTATTCGGCTGTTTATCAAATAAACGTCGTTTGGTTTCTAACTGACCACAAACAGGAAAGGTTAAGTCTGATTTCTGAGGTTTCTCTGAGTTTCTGCGTTGAAATCCCTCCTGGGTTCTGAAGATCAGGCGTCACATTTGGAGTTGATTTGAGATGCAGCGTGGATCTGTGCTGAGCTCAGTGGCAGCAGCGCCGGACACCAGGGAAGATGACAGGCAGTCTGTGGTCGGAGGCAGAAATAAATCATCTGGGAACGTTTTGCATTAAATTATATGTATAATGCTCTTTTAAGTTTCAAAGTATCACCATAGAAACCTATGAGAAAATGGTTGAGATTAACACCCAGTTGGGTTTGTAAAAAAATGACAAATAAATAAGTTACAGACTGTATCCCTCTGAAATGAGCTCTTCCACATCCACACATGAATAAACATTTTTTAGAAGCGATAAATGATCCTGCAACCTCCGAAAGGTTAAAACTGATTGATTGAATTCCTTCGATTTGGAAATTTGTCTGTAACAAACTTCCAAAGAAGTCCTGAAATATGAATCTGTAAACATTTGAAATGAGAAGTCGTTCGATTTAATTCTGCAACAAAAAGTTTCCTTTCTTCTGACGGCAAATATTTCTGAATTAGGCTGAAACAATTGGATAAATAATGATGACTCGATTTTTGAAGTAATCGTCAACTAATTTAGTAGCTGGTTATTCATGAACTGGAGTAGAAAGTCTCATTAGCTGAGAGAAAAACAACATTCAGCCAAAACAGTACAAGATAAAAACATTTGATTTAACATGAAAGAAAAAAAATCTTCATCTATAAAAATGTTCTACCCAGAATTTCAGCTTCACTTTGCTCAAATTCTGTATGAATAAAAAATGTTTTAGGAAACTTTCTTCCTAGTGAGTTATTGTTTAATTGAAAAAATAAACATTTCAACTCTGCACTGCATTGATGTCAAGTCAAGCAGAACGGACTGAGCTGTTCACAGTTTGATGTTAGAAGCATTTTTTAGTTGGAGATTTTTTGCTATAACTGATCAAATGTTCACCAAAAGAATGTCATTATTGCATTTTAGGTTTATTTTCTAATATTTAAAAATTTATTTTAGTGATTTATTTGCATCTTTTAATGTTTTTCTAGTATTATCTGAAAAGGGTTAAGTTGTTGTGAATGTGTATTTTTTTATCTGATTAATCAATTAATTGTCAGAATAATCAATAGAATAATCTTTAGTTGCAGCTCCAGTTTGAATACTTTATAAATCTGCACCCGTCATGACTCACTACGACCACCAGGTGTCACTAGAGCCTCTGCTAACGTTCTCAGCTGGATCAGCTTCGTTTCCTCTTCATTGTGTCGCTAAATGTCAGATAGAAAAATTGATTCCTTCTTTTCTGCGAAGCCTCCTTGTGTCTTTCTGTGTGCATGCGACGATGTGATCAGCCCCAAATTGCCGCTTCGCTGTCTTGAGTCCTGTGTCTCCTGTTCTTTTCACTTTAATGCTGGCTCAGGAAACCTACAGAATTCCCCCACAGGATCAGCCGGACCTGCTGCTATCGAGCGGCCACAAGGTATCACTGTCACCCCTCAGTTCCCCTGACAGCTCAGTAGACTCCGCAGGACAGACGCTCGACATGCAGGGCAGTCTGTGGATTGCACTGTTTGATTTCCACTGTTTTTGCCTCTTCCTAATGCCCTTCGCTGTTTCACTCTGCACCCTGGCAGCGGTTATCAAGCCTGTTCATGAACTGTGAGTGAGATGAAAATGCTGCGTCATGAAGGAGAGGCTGGGTATGAAAAGATACCGGGTCAGAAACTCAAGGGCTTTTGGATCAGTTTCACAATCATCCCCAACTATTTGTCTATAAAAGCAACTTTATGCTTTATAATTAGGCCTGTCGTGATAACAAATTTTGCTGGCCGATAAATTGTCAGAGAAGTTATTGTAATTAATGATAATGTTGTTGTTTTGAGACCATTTTTCAGTTGTGTAATAAATGATCAGAGATAAATAAACTTTGAATTCTGATAAATATTTAACACTGGAACTGAAAGGTGTTTTAAAATCCAAAATAAATAAACAAAACACCAGAAACAACAAATAAATGAATTATGAAGTCTCTGTTAACAAAACTGTCCTTCAAAAAAAGGTCTAATTGAGACCAAACGGCAGAATGAAGACGTTTATCATCCAGTTTTTAATAGGAATAGAGAATAAAATAAATCATGCTAATGAAAATTATTGAGCTCATTCAAATTATCATATGATTTATTGATTTTAGCGAGAGGCCTACTTACAATCGGGTCTCCGATGTAAAGTTTCTGTTGCAGAAAAGATGAAGTAGAGAAAACTGGTAGCTAAAATATATTGATGTCAACTGAGCTGATCTCTTTCCCTCTCACTGTGTGTCTATCACTCTCTATCTCTCTGTCTTTGTCTCTCTTTATCTCTCTATCTTTCTCTCTTTGTCTCTTTATCTTTGTCTCTATCTTTTCTCTCAGTTTGTCTCTGTCTGTCCTCAGGTAACCAGGTGTTAGAGAGCAGTCAGTGTTACCCAGCTCTGTAGTTAAACATGATTCTATTATTATTAATCAATAAATTCAGGGTGATAACCCCGCTGTCTGTACCGCCTTATATTTGTCCAGTTAGCATTGCTGGCTAACCATTAGCCTGCCGCTACAACTGGACTCTTCTAAAGGATAAAATCGGAGTCGCTTTGTTGGAAACTGTTCAGCTTCTTGTTATTTGCTGAAACTGTTTTAAGTAGAAGTTTATAGAAGCTTCCTGCTCCTTTTTTAAACTTATTTTTGTTGCTTAAAAAGCTGCAGCTTCTCCTCTCAGTGACAACTTCCACACTGAAGAGTTTGAGAAGTGGGACCTGCTCCAGCTTACGCATGATGTTTAATTTTATTTTTAAAGTTCCTGCCTCCCTGTCGACAGATCCAGGCCAATCAGTTTCCATGTCTGTGGTTTTTGAGACTCACTTTGCAATTTGTCTGAATAGTAAAAAAAACTTTTTCTTTTGTTGGGAATTTTAATTAAAATTTCCACAGAGCTTTATGTTTTGGTCTGTTTGAGGTATTTTTTTAGATATTAACTGACCGGTGTTTTGATCGGTGACTCAGTTCGTGAGGAGACTTTTCACCACATAGTTTTTTCTCCTGACAAATTTCTTGGATGGCTTTTTTTTTTTTTTTTTACTTGTGTAAAACTATGTTGAATTAGTGACACTCATACTTGAGTACGTTAGGTTTACACTGATGCTTCTTTAGTCTTTTGCTTTCGTCTAAATGCTTCTCTCTTTGAGAACAGCACCTCCAGACCAACACTAAGAGCTTTTTCTTGTCCTGCACAGTTAATATTTTCCAGGCTCTTGCAGACGTGGTGCAGCATTTAAACATGAATCACTCTGAAAAGGGAAAACTACCGGCTGTTGTCCAACAGGAACACTCAGCCTGATTAGATTTTATTTATAGGACGTTACAGTCGTTACATTTATGTGTGTTTGAGTTGGTCAAAGAGTGAAATGGGCCCAGATGTGTCGCTGTGGGACGTTTTGCTTTAGACGAGTTTTTCTGCCAGTCGCTGTGGGGAGAGCTGGTTTAACCTGACCCAAAACGGCTCTGGACTGACAGTAAAGCCAACACCTTTTATAGGTGTGAGTGTCTGCCAGGAAACTCAGTCCACTCAGCGGTGCTAAAGAAAACCCATGACGTGTTTTGATTGATTTGTTGTTGTTGTAGGACCGGGCGGTATCCCACCCAGAGGCCTGTTGGGCGACGGACCCAATGATCCCAGAGGAGGAACTCTGCTGTCTGTCACTGGAGAGGTCATCGACCCCAAGTAAGAAACAGCTGTTAGCAGGATTAACGCCTAACCACTCCAGCGTTCTGGATATCGCCGCCTCTCTGCTCCATTTCAACGTAAACTAACCGTCTTTATGTTCTGTTCGTCTGGTTCTGCTGAGTCGGTCCGGCTCTTTTGGCTGGCTGAAAACAAAATTGAGTAGAGACCTGAATCTTTCACTGTCAAATTATTTAATCACAACTTTTAGGGTTCGATTCAGAAACAGTCTTCAGATGTTGTTTAAATTATGGCGACGCCAACAATTTTTGTGAACGTAGCCATACTTTTTTTTTTTGCGGTTGTTGAGATTGCCAAATATATGCGACTTCCAAATGTATGTAAATGTATCGCAAACAACCTGGAAGTGTCCCGCAGTAGAACTGCCCAAAATCGGCAGGTTGGGTTTCTTAAACCAAATAAAAAAACTACTTTTTTCCCCCCCCATTTTAATTCATTTAAATTAAACAAATAATTTCCTGTTGAAACATGTTAGTTTGTTTTGCAAACAAACATGTTTTACAGTTTTTTGCACCGATTGCTTGTTAGAGCCAGAAATCTGTAAACCGGTGATCAATACTAAAGATGTAAATGTTTGTGTTTAGCCGGGCCTACATGGCCGCTCCGCCTCACCAGGCCCCGCCGGTACACATACCCCAGATGGGAGGCGGGCCCCAGATGGGAGGCGGGCCCCAGATGGGAGGCGGGCCCCAGATGGGAGGCGGGCCCCAGATGGGAGGCGGCCCCCAGATGGGAGGCGGGCCCCAGATGGGAAGTGGGCCCGAAATGAGAGGCCCTCCGATGTCTGAGCCGCGGACCATGATGGTGGACCCGCGAGGGCCGCCGATGATGGAGCCGCGGGGACCGCCGATGGAACCCAGAGGTACGAGTCGGAGGAAAACGTTTTGTTGAAGATTAAATTGATCAGATTCATGTTTGTCACAGAACTCAGATCAACTCCAGCTGGCAATGAATCAACCAACCGAAATAAAAACAAATCAGTTATAATTTCACAGCTGTAGACTGAGCTACATGTTCCTTAAAAAGTCTTGAAATGTCTTAAAGTCATTTTTAAAATGAGTTGGCCTTAAACATGTTATTTGCAGGTCTTAAATTTTATTGTTTATTTATTATTTAATCTCATGTTTAGTGTAGTTTTGATTTATTCTGGGGAGATTTTGATAAAGCTTTTTATCGCGTGCAGAAATTGTTGCTGTGCTCTGCGGCAGCTATGGCTACTGCTAACTAGCTGCTAACATACTCTTTTGTTCCTAAGGGTAAAGCTAGCATATTTGACTTCCATCTTGGCTAAGTGAAAATGTATTGCCAGCTGGCTGGACAATGTTCATCTTCGCCTTCCCAACCGATACGATTTGTTTGTTATTGAGATTCTTTTGCATTTCTGGTCTTAAATTTCATTCACACGGCTCTGAAAATATCTTGGATTTTAGTTTTAGCATCATCTTCTCCTAAAGCTTGTTACCTGTTGTCCTTCAGGCCGGGACCCGAGGGCGATGGACGCTCGCGGGCCAGTGGCGGGTCAGAGGGTTCCCATGGTGCCTGGGATGCAGGGCCCGGTCCCCCACGCCATGGGTCCAAACGTTCCTCCGTCTGCAAGACCGGTAAGTGGGCGGAGCCTTAACTCTGTCTTCTGTTTGGTTAAAAGCATCGTCCAGCTGCTGAGACTTTCTGCATGTTTTAGCCTCCAATTCTGGGAGGACCAAAGTGTGGCCCAGGGGCCATTTGCGGCCCTTGAGGTGTTTTTGTGTGGCCCCCAACTGCAGTTTGAGAGTTTTAGAAATGTGACCCACCAGCACAGACTCTTGTTTGCTGATAAATTAAAATCCTTTCACGACATGATAAAAGTATTTGCCTTTTAATAACCAAACCTGAATGGAAAGTGGGAAGTTTGCTTGAAAGCAAAAATATGTACACAATCTTTTTAATTATCCAGCTACTGGATTTATCATCGATTAAAAATAGACAAAAACTAATTTTCCAAGGCAACAAAATAAAATCTTCTAAATATAAATTCATTGGTGATTTTTCTCCTAAGAAATCCTCTTTTATGTTTAATCTACAATAATTTGTACGTCCTTTTCCTGCAAATTTATACTGTATTTTTAAGTAATATATTGCATATATACAATTGTTTACAGCACAATAATAAACATCAAAATCAGTTGTATTATTTTCTTAGTTTTCGAACATTTCTTGCATTTCTGACTTGACCATTGTGGCCCAGTTTACAAAAAGTCTTTGAGGGAGATTTGCGCCATTTGTTAGTTTGTTAGTTTCTGACTGAATGTTGTTTCCCATCGAAAGCTGATTACAACACCCACAACATTCCACAACATTGACGAACAACTTCCTAATGCCGCCCCCCACAGATGCCACCCTGTGGAGTTGCCCATATCACCCAGATCAGAAACCGTCACTGACTGAACTACTTCCGTCTTTATTTCTGGAGAAATAAAACTTTCTCCTGACCTTGTCATCTTGTAATGGTGTATCGAAGCTCTGTTTCTTTTATATATCAGGCGTTCAGATTCGGGCCTCAAGTTTGACACACGTGATCTATAAGGTGAACGAAAATGCACAGGAAGTGAGTGAACTGAGCCGAGGCTGTTGTTGTCCTGCAGGGTCCGGGTATTTCTGGCGTCCCGCCCTCAGGAGGAGGCTTCAGTCCCGGACAGAGTCAGGTCTCCACTCAGGATCAGGAGAAGGTGGGTCCATCGACGGCGCCGCCGATGTTTCCTGCCGGCGCTGCTTAACGCCGTCCCGTCTCTTCCAGGCCGCCCTCATCATGCAGGTGCTGCAGCTGACCCCAGAGCAGATCGCCATGCTGCCGCCGGAGCAGCGGCAGAGCATCCTCATCCTCAAGGAGCAGATCCAGAAAACCGCCTCCGGCGCTCCGTGATGCTCCAAGGTGGAGGAGTTCCTCCTCGGCTTCCTGTTTTGTTTTTTTGTTTTTCCTTTAAACCAAACTGTTGTAAAATCTCAAAACTGTTTTGTCAATAAAACTAAAGAGGTCACAAAATGCCTCCTTATTTTTAATCCAAAATATCTTAAATAAATAAAGTCTTACAGGAAGACAGCACTGCCTTTAATTTGCACAATTTTCTGCCTGGTTCCTTGTTTACCTGCCTTTGTTTCTCGTCAGGAAGACTTGAACATGAGCTGGAAAACTTTTATTATTGTTCGGTTCCAGGAAAATACTTTCCTCAACCAGAAAGAGGCGACAACAAGGATGTACATGGTGGATTTGAAACCCCGTTTTCTGTAACAGATATGTAAACTTTATTTTAATATTTACAGCTTTAAAAACACAAAATATACAAAGCCTTAGCAGGCACTAGAAAATGTAATTGTTTTTCTTAAAAAGGAAAAGCTGCAGTTTGAAACATTTTCTACATTGGGGTTTGGATTTACATAGTTCAGTTCGACATTAAATCAGCCCATTATTATCCCAAAATAGCACAACCAGCTGCACATCAAGTTTAATGAGTTGGCAAACATTTGAGCTTCACAATTCCTGGTAACAATAAAAGTTTTTGTGGAGTCGACTTCATGATGACGAAGCCTAATCAGTGGATTTAAAAGTCAAACCCACCCGGCCGGTTCTGCAGCTGGGTGTGAATCTCTACAGTCATTGGAGATCTAAGCCCTCAGTCACAGCTGATCAACAGCAGTTGTTTTGTTCTCGGCTCAGAAGTTCTCCTTGTTGAAGTAAAATGTGGTTTTGCGAGGATCCACGTCCGAGTATTTTCCGCATTTCTTCTCCAGAACTTTCCCGAGTGCCTCGGGTCCGCACAGGAACGTTCCCACCACGGACCTGCAGACGACCAAAACGAAACGTCAGCGGCTGCAGATCTGTTCATTTCAGTCCTAAACGGCTTCAGCCATCAATAAAATTCACCTGCAGAACAAGTTCAGGTCATAATTTCACGACTCATCATGACATGAGAAAAATCCATCACATTTTATCCCGTTAATTACTTTGAAGTATTATTTTTAATAGTCAAAAGTAATTTACACCTTGTTATTTTTGGAGTTGAAGTCCAATGTTCCACTTATTTAAGAGTTGATCAGTATGACAATGAATTAAAAAAAGGTACAAAAAACTGAAATTCTCTAGAAAGAATTTGAAAATTCTTAATTTTCAAAAGTTGAGAATTTGCAAGAAAAATCCATAAGATTTCTGAGTGCCACAAGTCAAAAAAATATTTTTTAGAAAATCTGAAATTTTGAGAGTAATCTCAGACATTTTTTATGAAAAAATAAAAACTTGAAACGGACGTTTTATAATTACATTTTCTTCAAAAAAGAATATTTTTTTCAAGCAGACTTTTAAATGTTCTTATTTTTTGGTGTAAATTTCCGAGATTTAATCTTAAATTAGTTTGTTTCAAGCTCATTTTGAACCTTTCAAGCACAGAAATTTTCAGGTTTTTTCCAGAACATTTCTGGGATAAATCTCAGCATTTCTGAGTTTTTTTGTCAGAAATTCAACCCTTTTTTCCTCATCTGAAATGGCCCAATGTGCAGCTCTGCAATAACAATGTCTGTTTTTCCAAGAAGAGGACATGAAATAAAACGTCTGCTTTACGTTGGGTTCTCTTTGCGGACTTGTTCGAACTCCTTGTCCCAGTTGGGTCGGCCGTAGTGAGTCTTCTGCTTGAGCCCGGTGACCACGTCCATTTCCTGATCCACGTTCACCATAACGTAGTTCACCTGATGGGCGTAAAAGGAAAAAGAAAAGAGGTTTACGGCGCCGTTCATGAGGAAATGATGACGGGTAACCTGGACTTTGGACTCGTACATGGCTCTGGTCCCATCCGGTCAGAAACAGCTTGTAGGTGAGGAAATCCCCCATGCCTCTTTCCTCCATCTCCTTCTCCTGCGCCTTCAGGAGGTCAGCGAACCATTCGAAGGCGTGGGTTTCCCGGCACAGCCAGTAGAAATAGATCTGAGACCAGTAAACAGCAAGGTGTGTCAGAACCATGGCACCGCAGAATTTAAAGCAGAAATATCTGTCTGCTTTAAGTTTGTCTCTAAAGCTGCATCATGTCACTTTTATTAAAAATGTTTTTTACATAGTTGGTAAAACTGTCACTATGTTGAGACAGATAATGTAAAAAAAAAATCAATCTCGTCCACCTAATCCCTGAGCTTCTACTTCCATGTTAAGAAATGCCAAAAACAACCTATCAGAGCCAGGAGGAGGGTCTTAGCGCTGTCAATTAATCGCATGAACACGCTGCCAAATGAGCTAATGGTGGAGAAACAATTTACTGTTACAGGAAAACCATTTATCCACTATAATTGGCGGCTATGCTAGCTAGCCTTAGGATTCACAATAAACTGTGGGTCAAAGCGCTGATTGGCAGCGCTAAGACCCGCCTTCTGGCTCTGATTGGTTGTTTCTGGTTACCACTGGGAGAAGGCAGAGAGCTCGACTTATTCACAGTTTATCTGTTTCATACCATACTATTACGACATGGTGGCTGAAGCTTTGAATTAAATGTCTGGCAACTTTTCGTATTCATCAGTCCATCAAGATTTTACGATTGTTTTTGTGATTTTTATTTTTTTTGCAACCACAATCACTGATTTTATGGAGCTACTTTAGCGATACTTTTGCGCTTAACTTGGTGTTTTTGACCATTTTTTTGAAAAGTTGTAAATAAACGTACAATGATGCATTAGCATGAAGCAGTGTGAGGATCTTTTGACTTTGCATGACGTTTTGCAAAAAAAATAGACTGACTGATTAATGTAATTTGATTTGACTGGTAAAATAATACACAAGGACACAGCTTTTATCTTGAAGGGCCACAGAGAAGGTTGTGGCGGGCCGGATTCGGCTCCCTGGCCTCGAGTTTGTCATCGTGAGGAGGTTCACCTTTCTGGTGCGCAGATTGGGGTCGTTGTCTTTGAACTTGTACCAGATGGACTTGAGGATGGAGGCGAAGGGAGTGACGCCGATGCCGGCGCCGACCAGCATGCTGACCTCGTAGTCGAAGACGTCCTCACTGGCCGTCCCAAAAGGGCCGTCCACGCCCATCCTGAAGACGGACAGCAGGTTGATTGAGGACAAACAAACGTCAGATCTTACAGTGAGTTTTACTGGGGATTTCAGGAGAAACACCGACACAAAGTAGAGAAGAAGAAACGTTGCATATTCAGCCCTCTTTACTCTGAAGCGTCAAAATGAAAGCAATCATTTCTCAGTAGTTGAACATTAACAGCAACATGAGAACAGCAGGCAGGTCAGAAAGTCCCATTTGTTCTTGTATTATTATGACTTTATTGCGGTATGACATTTTTCCAGTAATATGATTATTCTCGTAATAAGACATTCTTATTTTGACTTTATTCTCGTACAGTTTTATTAATGTTATAAGACTTTACTGTCAGATTATGGCTTTATTCTCAATATACTGTGACGTTTTTATTATTTGGACTTTATTCTTGTAATTAAAAAAGACTTAATGTAATACTCCATCATACCACCATGTTTCCTAAAAGCTACAACAGTTATGGTATTATTGCAACTTTATTCTCCTGATATTATGACTTTATTCTCATATTATAATAACTATTGTATTTTTACAACTTTATTGCCATCTTGTAAGATGACTTCTTGTAATATTATGAGTTTTTTTTTTTTTTACTTTATCTTCAAAAATTTAGACTTTATTGTTGTATGACTATTCTCGTGTTATTACAACTTTATTATTACTTTTGACTTTAGTCACGTAAAATTCTAACTTTATCCTCATAGTTATAGAAAAACTGATTAGTTTATATACTCTGCTGTACTTCTATCTCATAAAATCTTTTAAAATTGTTTTTAAAAAAACCTAATGTACATATTTATTTATATTTTTCAAATTTTCTTTTAGGTAAGATGTTTATTGGCATCTTAGGCAGTTAAGAGGGAAAATAATAAATGTTTGGTGGGAAAATAAAATCAAACATGTCTCACATCATTCACTTTTAATGTTTCTACAACCAAAGCAAGATGAAAAACCTGACTGTTGTTCGTAATGCGAACACCTACTTGGGCCCCTGCGCTCCCTCTGGCAGCTTCTGCATGATGTCGATGAGTTTGTCCGTCCAGTCACCGGCTGAGCGGATGTGGACGCTGAAGAAGTCCTCTTCGGGGGCAGAGGTCATGGTGAATGGGTGCCACTCCAGCTTCGAGATCTCCGGGCAGTTGAGGAAGACGTACTGGCCCACGTCCATTTTGAAGCCCGTCTTCACCAGCTGCAGCTCTAGCACTTTGGACGGCCGCATCACAATCTGTGAAAAAACAAAAACAAAAAAAAAAACTCTTAGTTCGAGCCGGACCCAGGAATATCGGAGTTAAGCAGCTGCTTCGGGCCTCCACACCAGCAGGGGGCCCCCAAGATTAACATTTGTGTTTTTGTAGTGAAGTTTAATATTTTTCTGCTATTGACTGTGGTCACCGTTTGGGAAAGATAATATATTAACTTGTCGCCTCGTTTAGTGTAAATGTAGTGTTTAATGTTACTTTCAAAAAGCCATACTTAAATACCATTCTGCATTTCAAAATTCAACAAATTTTTTGTTGTTTTTTTTACTCCTGGAAGGTCAAAATCAATTGCAACAATAACACTGGTATGATGTAAGCAAATTACAAATTAAGTTAATAAACGTAGGAAAGATGAAGCATCTGGTGGTAACATGTTGGTATGGGAGGCCCCAAATAAAAATTTGTTCAGGACCCCAAAAAGGCTTTGACCGGCCCTGCTCTCACATCAGTCAGCAGCAAGAAAACACATAGAAATAATAATAAAACTGATGGTTTACCTTTCTGTACTGGACATTCTGCTTGTAGCGAATGAAGCGCAGCAAACGTTCGCATAGATAAATAACCATTGGGCCGATCACGTACAACCAAGTCTACAGAGAAAATGAAGAAATAATGACGTTCTTCATACTGGGAGGAGAATCAGACGCAGAAACTGAAGTGAGAAGACACAAACCTGAGCCGGCCCTCCTTTAAACTGAGGGATGGGACACTCATCAATCTTTCCCCAATCCTCTGTGCGGTTGTGACAAAACAAAGGGTTGTGTTTTTCATACGAGTCATCAGTCTGCCTCCTGACGATGAACCTGAAGACGAGACAAGCGGGTAAATGACGAGATAAACAACAACGCTGCAGGAGAGGAAGAACGTCACAGCAAACAAATTCTGTCCTACCCGATTCCATGAATGACGAGACCGGCGAAGAAGATGATGAAGAGGTGGTGTGTGTACCAGAAGACCTCGAAGTAGCTGCGCCTGATGACCTCCATGGAGGACGTGATGATGAGGATGAGCGCCAGGGTGATGATGACACCGGTGAGGCCGGCGATGGACGTGAAGACGAAGTAGGTGGGGATTTGCTGCGGATCCTGAGGCAGAGCGAGAGAACAAGAAATATTTTTAATCCTGTTTGAGAATGTTTGACCAACTTGATGCTTTTTGCTGAATTGAAAGCAAAAGTACAGATTATTATATATGACAGCATATTAAAGTTAAGAAAATAATGGAGTACATTTCTGTCACAAAACTCAGAAATGTTCTATAAAAGAAACAAAGACATTACTAAAAAATAGAAAACATCTGATTTTGGAAAGCTGATAATATTCTATAAGAAATTAAAACATTTTTAGATTAATCTGAGAAATTAGAAGAAAAAGAAAAGTTTCTGATTTTGAACAATTTCTAGAAGAAACTGACATATTGAGATTAACCTCAGAAATATTTGAAAAAAAAGAAGAATGGAAATTTCTAGCTTTCAGATTTTTAACTTTTCAACTTCAGAAACTCAAAATTTCTGAAATTATGGAGCAAATTTTCAACCTCAGAAATGTAGATTTTCTTTTCTACAAATTATGAAGAAAACAAAGATATTCTCCTTTGTGATGGCCTAATTGTGTTTCTTGTGGGAAAAGTAATTTTTCTTCGATCCTGAACACCACATTGATTGCATTGGTACAGATTTTATTTGATTTATCGGAAAATGTGGCATAATTTTATTTATTTGCATTGGAAATGTGTACATGGCAGGCTTTAGTGCTGGACTTACGATGTCGTTTTTGCGGATCGGGTTCAGGAAGGTGGTTGTATGGTGAGAATCATTTTCTTCGTGTGAATTCTCCGATTCCTCTATGTGGTCCTCCAGGTTGGACAGAGCGGTGCTGAGGTTGTCGTAAACTCCCTGTCTGCTGTTGTTCAGCCACTCCACGTTCAGCAAGTGGGCGATCATATGAACGGCTGCGGGAGCAAACAGGAGAGAGGTCACCGCTTTGTTTCTGCACTCAGGAACACTGACAGGTTAAACATGAACCAACAAAATTAACAAAGGTGTTTAAAATATTTTGTCCTTTTGACAAGGGCCAAAAAATTACTTTTTATCTGTAATGTTGTAAAATTTCAAATACACTTTCCGCGTTTTCTCTGACTTTCTTATAACTGTTTTTAAAAAGTGCACTCATTCTCTTTTGTCTGAAATCTGAAAACAGAAACACAAGTGTGATTCTTTCATTTGAAAAACAAGCAACTTTTTTTAGCACCTTCAATTTCAAAGGATCAAATTTAGGTTCAAAGTGTAGTTAGCACACACCTAACCTCTGAACAAAAATGACAATTAGCAGGAAACATGTTTAAAAAAAGAAAAAGAAACAACCACAAAGAACCATTCTTTCCACTTGTATTTCCTCATATAACTACAATAGAAAATCAGACACATGTGCATCTTGAAGAATAATTGCTCCAACATAAACACATTAAGGAATTGCTGTATTGTTATAACAGATTTAAAAGGTCAAACTAATTGAGGTGAATAAATGGAGTAATCCTGTCAGAGCTGTGGGGTTTATTTAGAAATGGATGCGTGAGTTCACCTGTCATCAAGGCGATCATGTACGCCACCAGCTTGTGGAAAGTCAAGTTTTTGTCCAGTTGTTTCCTCATTGTTCTGCTGCAGCGCTGCAACAGCAACAAGCCAGGGTTAGAAACACGGAGGCTTTGTTTTCAATAACACGCCGCAAAACCACCCGGTTGCACAACATGGGCCTCGTAATGCCACTGTTAGGAGTGGTGTTACAGTTCATTGTCCGTTTAAACCTCATCAATACTGCGATTGTTAGTGGCGCTGCGTCGAAGCGCCCTACTTTATCTACTTTACCTAATGTGGAGAAGGCGTATCTGACTGACAGCTCTTCGTGAACAAATTAAATGTTGCTAGCTAGTAATATCGAGGTTTGGCGCCATTTTCTCTCGTCATTTATCGACTCGTCTGCATGTAATGTTTGCAGGTCATTAACAATCATCTCGCTCACTAATGTCGCTAATTTGGTAGAATAGCAGATTTTATCGCGCTGTGTTAGACAGTTGTAGTCCGACGACTGAAGACTTGCTAGCTAAAGGCTAAAACAGCCAGATGAAGGCGGGTAACCATGGCAACCGGTGAGCGTTTAACGGCTGCCCAGCTCTTTCTGGAGTGAAGCTGCGCGCGCATGCGCTGTGTTCCGTACAGTGACGTCGGCGCACTGACGTGTCTTTGCGCGGTTCTCTCTTTCTCGGACTGCTGTTAAAACAGTGAAAACGTTTTTTTTTTAAATCACCAAAACACTTAATGTGTTTTATTTGGCGACTGTACAGCAGTGGTTCCGTACGAATGTGCGGAAACCTTTGTCTCTGTTCTGTTAATGTCGATAAAGCAAAATGTTGCTATTGCCATGTTTCCATTAAACGTAAAATGAAATTAAAATCACACAGGAATCAACTTGATCATGTGATAAGTCATTAAAAACAACAACGCATGTGAACTGTTACGTATGTATTTTTATAATTCAACCATGGCGATAGGCTTGTCATGATAACAAATTTTGATGGACGATAAATCGACCCATAAGTTATTGTGATAAATGATAATATTGTTATTTTGAGACCATTTTCAAGTAATATAATGCAAAAACACATTTGCAAAGGTTAATAAACTTAAATTCTAATTAATATTTAACACTGGAACTGAAAGACATTATAAATATCGAAAATAAATAAACAACAATTAGAATGAATTATAAACTCTCTGTAAACAAAGTTGTCCTTCAAAAAAGGGGTTAAGCAGCAGAAGGAAGACTTTTATAATTCAGGTTTTGGTAGAAATAGAAAAAAGATAAACAATAAATCATGCAAATGAAAATAATTGAGCTTGTTTCAATTTATCATGTGATTAATTTACTTTGTTCAGTAAATGTGGCTTGTGGTGTGAAATCAGGTGTGTGAACATCGTCCTACCACGAAGGATCCTCTGAGCAGAGACAGCAGGTTCCTGCACACTGGCAGCAGGATGAGCATGCAGTTAAAGTTCAGGACGGCTGCAGGAGCTCTGGCCCAGGCCAAGGCAGACTGCAGGAGGGGAAAATACAATTATTCCTCCTTTTAATGTTGATTATTTATGATGAAAACACCAAATCCAGATCCACAGACAGTTTGAGCTAATTCATTAAAATAGACTAAATACAGGAAGTGTTTTCAAATGCCGTTTTTGCTACAATGAATTGATCTGTTTTATTAACTTTGTTTTTTAATAAGTTTCAAAAGTAAAAAAAAAAGGTATTTTTTTGTACATCTTTTATTATTATTATTTTATACATTAATCTAAAAATTCAGAGTTTTTTGCGGAAATGTATTCCATCTAGGCCGTAGTTTATTTTTGCCAAAAAGTAAAAACTAAAATGTTTTAGTCCTGCGAATCCTTCTGACGTGACAAATAGTTTGTAGCCCTTGTAGCCAGGCTCCTTTTAACCAAATCTCAGGTGTTCCCCCTGATTCTGCTTCTTTGGATCAGAACTGGCTTCAACAATCCGAACTATGCGAGGAGTTTCTGCAGCTCTGAGAAGCATCACAGTTTCGGCTGTGTTCACTACTCACCCCCAGCAAGTGACGGGTGTAGTAAAACCTTTCTCCGTGCTCATACTGGAAGTAAAACCAGACAAAGAGGAAGATGTTCAGGCCCATCCAGACGGACTGCAAAAACAAAAAGTGTTCGTTAGGAAATGGATCTCTTTCAGAAAGGATGCAAACGACACTTATCAGTCACAATTGCGCGCAAAACCAGTGCGTAAAACTCTGCTAAAAGGTCTAATAAATCCTCAAATGAAGTTTGGATAAGGACTCACTATTATGATGGCTGAAAACCAATTGTTGACAAACCAGTTCCCCATGATGAAGGCTTCTTCTCGGCTCTCTGAGCTCCTCATCCTCAGCGCGCTGGTTTTTATAGCTCCCACCTGCAGGGACTCCTCCCTCCATCTCTTCCAGATGCACAGGGAAACAAGTCCTCCTCCACCTCCTCCTCCTCCTCCACCTCCTCCTCAGCAGGTGAAATTACGCTGTTCAGGAAGTTCCGAGGAGGCTTGAAGAATCACATTCTTGTCTGGCTGCAGCGTCAGGCTGAATTAACCTTTTCTGAATGCGGGAGGAATGAGGAAACAAGCACCGACTCCATCCAGGAAGCCTCACTCTGCTGCGGTGACGCACAGAGGTTTTATTAGCGCAACCTGAGTAACTTTTATTGTTGTGCGTCTTAATATGTTGAAGTATCAGAAAGGTTAATCAGATAAAACTGTGAAGCTTCTAAAGAAGTAAAGTTACCAGGAAAGTTTAGTGGAAGGAAAGAGTGTATAAAAAAGAGGGGATTGTGATTTCAGGATGCGGTGCGATTTTTACATTCCTTCTAATATACCGTCACTTCCGAACTGTATATTAAGGCGATACATGTACAAAAACAAACTCCTTTTGAAATTTTGAGATTAATCTCAGAAAATGTCTAGAAAAAAAACAAGGAAATTTCTGAGCTCCAAATGTTGAATATTTGCTAGAAAAAAAACTTCAGTAATTCTAACATCTCAAAATTCCTCCCAAAATTTGTTTAGTGGAAATTTAGCCAACTCCTCATTTATTTGTTCTAAACGAACCAAAAACAACTTCTGTTTCCAGATAATTGATTTTATTGCTCTATAAACCAAAATCCCAGAATCTGGAGACAGAGAACAACAAAGTCCAGAATGTCCAAGCTGCCTGCCGGGAAATGCGCGTCCTGCTTCCCTCTGCTGATAAGCTTTATGGAGAGGCTGGTTTTATTCTACATGCACCAAACTTACCTCCATAAACCCCAATGTGTGAAACCATGGCGTGTCCAAAAGTGACAAACATCAAACCCATTTCACTTAAGGCTTTTATCACTAAAGAAATGCAAGAGTCTTAGCCCATAGTACTGAGCTCATGTAGAGTCGTTTTGGATTAGCAAGAAGTTAGTTTTAAAAACAGCTTCTTTAGCATCTCTTGTATTCGCTTAATGTTTAAATCTATTTTATGGTCCTTGTTTGATGCTGTTTTAATTGATTTAGTGTAGCACTTTGAGATTTTCATTACTGTAAAGTGCATTTAAATAAATGCATTATTAGCAACAATCATTTATGTCTTACTCTCCATGTGGAGATTTTCAGTATCCAACATGATTGTATCGACTAACATTACATTTGTTTTACCTTTTTAGTATTAAAAATTATGCTATTTTTCTTACGTCAAATGCACCTGCAAGAAAAAATACTTTATTTTTCACTTTATTCAATGTTCAAGTAGTACAGTAGTAGTCAAGGCACTGAACGACAAAGAAAAAATGAAAACATGCACAGTATCAAAGCATAAATACAAGCTCATTTAGCGTCCATCTCTTAATTTTACACAATAATTAGGTTAATTCTGGATAACGTCTTTGCTACCGAAGCCACACAAATATTCAGGATCCTTTTAGTTTCTCAGCAGAACATCGTGTCCAACTTTTTGTGTTTTTTTCCCCTCATTTAAAGGCAGTGAGCTGTGAAGAACAGACAGCAGCTGAGAGGAAACCAGTCAAAGCTTTGTAACATTTTCTGCCATGCTGCGTTCACGTCTGATCAGTGCAGATGCAAGATGCGTGCAAACGGGGGAGCTTTGAAACCCTGAGAGGAGGCAAACTGAAACTGTCCTGGGTCAGTGTTTTGGCCACTTCACACACACACACCCCCACTTCTCTCACTCACTCACTCACACACACACACACACACACACACACCCACACACCTGGCTCAGCGCTGCGCTTTCATCACCTGCTTTTGAGCATCGCCGCATATCTCCAAGTGCGACATTCTTTGGTGGCATAATCATGATCCAGGAAAGTTAATACACTGCAAAAACACAAAATCTTACCAAATATTTTTGGTTCTTTTTCTACTGCAAATGTCTCATAACACATGGAATGAAATAAAACTAAATTACAAGAAACTTTTCAGCAAGACTTAGTATATTGTTTTAAGTAAATATTTTTTAAAATATTGACAAAAAGCAGATTATTTTACTGATAACACAATAAAGATGTCTAAGAGAAATAAGGCATCCAACAGACAAACTAACTTTTTATCATCAATATTAAGGAATTATTTACTCAAAAAAAATCCAATTTCTTGGTGAACAGTTTCTTGCAAATTAGTTTTGTTTTACTTCAAGTGATTTAAGATATTTGCACTAGAAGCAGTAGCAAAAATACTTGATAAGATTTTGTGTTTTTGTAGTGCATACATGTTAGTCAACTTTAAGACAAAGCTAAATTTCAGCATGACATTTTAGTGTGTTTTAAGTCAATAGTTCTTTAATATTGATGTAAAAATTGTAGTTCCACTGGCAGATTATTTGACTTATAAATTCTGAAAAAAAAATCACAAGTGAAAATATTCTGCCACTGGAACCAGTACTTTTACCATCAATATTAAGGAATTATTTACTTAAAACAAGCGCCAGTATCTTGCTGGGAAGATATCTTTCAGTTAGTTTTGTCTTATTTCAGGTGTATTAAGATATTTGCATTAGAAACTTGACCAAAAATACTTGGCATTATTTTGTTTTAGCAGTGAACAAACTTGTTTATAAGAAGCGTGGCTGAACTTCAACAATAATCTTCAATAATTCAACATCTAAAAAATGCAACATAATTTTCAATTAACATTAGAAAACTATCAAATACCTTTAAGAAGTTTATCATTAACCTTATATGTTAGTAAGTTTTGTCTAATTTCAAGTGTAGTAAGTTATTTTCACAATAAATTGAACAAAAATACATGATTTTTTTCTAGTGATTTGCCCAAGTGTCTTGTTTTTCCCAGCATTCCTCCTGCTTTTGGTGCGTTTCCTGTCAGGCTAAAGACTCCCGCTCGCCCAGCGGCCCGGCGCCGTCTGGAGGAAGGCAGTTCTGAGGGTCCAGCAGCTCCTCCTTAAGCATGGTGGCGGCGGTGGAGTAGGAAGGCGGCACGCTGCCCCGCCGGCTCGCGGCCCGGCGGCGCCGGCAGCAGACGCAGTGCAGGCAGTCGTGGACGTTGTACTTGAAGAGGCTCCTGCACGGGTGGCAGAATTGGTAGAAGAGCAGCATGAAGAGAACGGCCAGGCTGTAGCCGATTAGCAGCTGCACCACCACCAGCGGCGCGCACACGTACTCGTAGAAGTCCGACTTGAAGAAGTACCAGAGCGTGATGAGGACGAAGTTCTCCAGGAAGCGGCCGGAGTAGTAGAGCGCCAGGCGGCGCCAGCTCTGCTTCCGGTCGATGAGCTCCTGGTCTGCCAGGTCGAGCTCCACGGCCGACCAGCAGAACACGTTGATGCAGGCGTACAGCAGCGTGAACATGCACAGCACGATGGTCGTGCCCAGCTTGGAGAAGTTCTTCTCCACGCCCTCGGCCAGCGAGCCTTTCCGCAACCAGAACTCCACCCATGGCAGGAAGAAGAAGAAGAGCAGGTTGCACCCGCCCACCAGGATGACCCAGTGGGTAAGGGCGGTGCTGAACAGCACCAGGGTCGTGACCCGGGTGGTGATCTCCAGGGCCCGCCACACCACCATGCATAGGTAGGCGGCGGGCCGCAGCTGCACCTTGATGGAGTCGTAGGTGATCTGGATGGCGAGGACGCTGCAGACCAGAGCGCCGTAGGTGATGGAGATGAAGGTGATGATCATCAACGCCACTGCAGAGATGAGAAGGAGCTTAACACAACCAGAGTGGGATAACCTGGAGTATCACACACACACATCCATACATGGACACGCATCAACACACACGTAGACAGACACACACACGTTTCCAATGGGAAATTACAGAGAAGTTTCTTTAATCGGATTATAGTAAATATGAAAATAAATATGGAAACCACAAGGGAGGAATGGATGGACGGATGGATGGATGCAGTAAATAAAGAAGAACAAATGGAAGAGAAGAAGGACAGACGCTGTTTAATACAATCTGGAAGCAGAAACTGTTTCCCAAAGCGTTCCAGTTTTCCACACCTTTAAACATTCGTGAACCAGGTGAGGTTTTCCAGGTGAGGTTTTCCAGGTGAGGTTTCCAGCCTCCCTGCCCCAACAGAAACACTGAGATTATGTCTTTTGGTTGAATTGACTCGTTTTGCCCTGACTTTCCACTGGAGCAGCGTCCAGCTCCGTCTGAACTGGTTCAGATCTTATCAGAAGCTGATTGATCTCAATCAGTCTCGTATAAACGCAGGTGTGTCCAGTTCCCAGCAGGTCATGAGTCACCAAGGATCACCAAGTACAGGAAACAAACCACCTGACCTCAGTCCTGTTCTGACTGTGGGGATCAATTAGAGTTGGATAGAAGCTTGTAGTAGGATTTACTTCCAACCCTCCTGAATGAATTCATACTGATAACTGTATCAAATAATTCTCATGCGTTTCATGACTAATGATCGATGTTAACTCCTGCTCTGGTGCCACCTGCAGGCCAAAGCGACGCCTCTCTCAAAAGGCTCAGCTCGCTCTCAGTTTCAGGCAATAGAGTTTACAAACTGTGAATGAATCAAAACATACACTAATATCAGCATGTTCTCAGAACTCAGTCTTACAGCCAAATGTAAATAAAACCAGACATAAAATAACTGGGTTTCTGCAAGTTTTCTCAACACAAATTCAACACTTTTTACGAACTTTTTGTATGACAATGTGGCCACAAACCGACGCTTTTACCACACACTTGGCTAAAAAGCCACATAAACTGTTTTCTGTCTTAGGATTCTATAAACTACTGAAACAATTCCTTCAAAACCTTGTTTTTTATGCTGTTGTAAAACTACTTTCTGAATGGCGAAAATTACTGTTTATTCTAGTAATTGAACGTTACTTTGAATGAAAACCAGTGTTTCATTATTTTCGTCATTGACAAAACAGATTTACAACTGCATATAAACTGTGTTTTCAATGTATTTTTGCAGTATTTTGGAGTCTTAAGTCATAAACTGGCGTTTTAGCTAGAAAGTTTGGTAAAAGTGGTGATTTATGGCCCTTATGGCCTTCCATACAGTGGAAGTGTTTTACGTAACAGTAAAGTCCCACAAGAAAAAAACGAAAACTACGTACAATATGAGATTCAAGTAAGCTCAGATTCATGATTAAAGTATTTAATGTCAACTTATTTTTCTTAAATAAACGTGTAAAAATACAAATCAGAGACTCAAAATCCACATTTAAGACTCAAAATGTAATTTCTGCAAAAAGAGAAAGAGCTTAGAGAGGACATAAACAAGCATTTCTTACATCTGTCAGACAGGATGTACTTCTCCTGGATGGTGGCGTACAGCTGGAGCGTCAGCTGAGGCGTGGAGCCCAGGAAGGCCTGGATGACGGCGGTGCGTTTGAAGGCGTTCCGGTGCGTGGCCAGCGTCCGCTCCGTCTGCCCAATTTCCAGCTCTATCTCTCGGCCCTTCTGCAGGTTGGTTTTCCTGGAGAGGGTGACGTAAGGCTCCTCGTTATGGCCTGCCTTGAAGTAGACCACCAGCGCCTCGAAACACCTGAATGAGGAGCATCGGGAGGTCAGAGTGTAGTACCGCTTGAGCACCAGCAGGGGGCAACATCATGTTAAGTTACAGGGCCAAACTCAAGATTACATCATGAAGATCTAAAAACAAAGCTCAACTTTATTAAGCTATGTGATAAAAATGTTATGGATTTTTTTTAAGAAGTTGAATTATTAGAGAATTATAAATAACTGATATTTGATTTTGAAGTTCAGTCTTCAAAATCAAATATTGATTTTGAAGACTTTTTGCTATGAAAAACTTTTTGTAAAGTTTTTGTAAAAACAAAATCTCACATTTGGTCTAGTTTGTAATGCGAATATTTTAGAACAATTGAAATAAGACAAAAGAAGTAACTTTTCAGCGAACAGCAGCTTGTTTTAAGTAAATAATTTCTTAATATTGGTGAAAAATTGCTGAATAAAATATTTTCCCACAATAAGAGCAAAATAAGCCTCAGTGAAATTTGTATTTAAAAATATATAAATATTAAGGAATTATTTAGGTAAAACAAGCTCCTAAACCTTACTGAAAATTAGAACACTTCTCTTATTTTGCACTAGAAACTAGACAAAATTACTTGGTAAAGACTTTTTGTTTTTGTAAACACCAGCTTGTGCTTCAGCTGCTCCAGTAGATCAGCTCACAGTTCTGCTTTTTATACCAACTATTTTTACCTCAACTTCAGCTAATTTATTGTTTTTCAGCTAAGGGTTATTATTCTAACCAAAATGAAATGATGCGTCTTCCAATATTTTATTAGTCTTGCCTGGAAATCAGTTTGTTTTCCGCTGGCAGTTTTCCTGTTGAGTTACTAAATTCCAGCAAGATTTCTTTTGTTGACTTCAATGTTTTAGCCTTTTTTTCTGAAATTGCAATTTCTCTAGTGAAAATTAGAGTACCAACATTAAAAAAAAAAATTCACTACTGTGATATAATTTGTTGCTGTTATTAAGAATAACTTGTGATTGTATCGCCATCCTACACACTAATTTAACAACAGATTTCAAGAAAGTATAAAACAAAAGCCAACCTTTAAATGAGTGACACAGCTCAATAAGTCAGTAGGAATAAAACATACCTACTGCATTGAAACAATCAAAACAAATTGTCAAAAATAAAAAATTACCTTCAAATTAAATGATTAAACATGATATCTAAATCTCAAAAAAAAAAAATTCTCACTAAATTTCCTGCCATTTAGCAAATATAAATTGTGGTAATTCTAGTTGACCTAAAACAATAAAAGTTTAGTCTGATTTAACTACAAGCAGAGAGAAAAATGTAAAATATCTGCTTTCAATTGTAAATGTTTTCCAAATTTAGCTTTTCATCAAAGTTAGATTGCACTTTATTACAAAACTGTCCAGTTTTAAGGATTTTATAGAAAATAAATCACTTTCCAAACCTTGAAATCAAGGCATTTTCAATTATTTTAAGAACCCTGATGAAGTTAAAATATATTTGTTACAAGAAAAGTAAAATATCTGCCAGCTAAAGAGGTTACTATGTACTCATAAAAAGTGACTACAGATTTTTCTTACAGGAACTTAAGTTACACATTTGTCATAACAAAGAGGCCTTTCATTGTAAATGTTGGCCAAACCAAACCAAACATTTCCAGTGAACGCTCCAGCAGAGGGCAGCCGGAGGATAAACTGAGAACGTCTGGGTGTGGCTGCCTTAACGTTTGCAAGGTAAATGCTCTCTGTTTGGCCTCTGGGGTGAGTGTCGCTCAGAAAGAGAGAAAAACAGGTTTTACACAAATATGTGCTCCTGTGCAAGAGGAGAAAAAAGATGTAAAAAAAAAAAATTAATAAACCTCATGTTGTGTCAAAAGCAAGTTTTCAGTCCGGACCATTAAAACGACATAAAACAGGAAGAAAAAGTGAGTTAAACTGAAACTCTTGGGAGTCGTGTTTTCAGCTCATGACCCTCTGCAGATCCTCTCTGCAGCACTAAATCTCACATCGCTGTGCAGGAATGCACTGCCAGACACTGTTGCTTCAGCAACGCCACACCAAGAATCTTTACACACAGTTTACAGTCGCTCAGAGTCAAAACTAAACCGGCTGCAAGCAGGAAAATCGATTAAACTAAATCAGCTGCAAGCAGGAATATGGCCAAGAGTTTTACAGAATCAACAACAGGCTAGGCAGACCAATTTCTCAAAACTATTTTACACTGGAACTGTCTTCAAGCAGCTCTCAGACACATTCCACATGGATTGGTGGTTATGCAAGGCATAAGTGCCTTGCTCAGGGGAACATCGACACGCAGCAGAGGAAGAAACAGACGAAACAAGACTACTATTATTCCCCGTGATTTAACAAAATCTATTTATGGCAGATATTCCTACAGCGAGACAGTAGTGAGGAGTGCTGAAGGAGAGGCAGAGGAGGACATGAGTTCAAGAAAGAGTGAAAACAGTGAGTAAAAAGAAAGAGAGGAAGACAGAAGAAGCAAAAAAATGGAAAAGATTTGCAAAAAGACAGTGAGACAGAAAAAAAGTAAAAACATGAGTAAAAGCACAAAATGCAAAAACAATTGAGTGAAGAGTTTGAGTAAAAGAGAGCAAAAAGAGAGTTAACAAAAGATGCAAAAGAGAAAACAAGGTAGTGAAAAAAGTTAGTAAAAAAAAGACAAAGCACAAAATTTTAGCACATTTATATTTCAATTAATCTGCTGAATTTTACTTTCGAAGAAACTTTCACACAATTAAAAACACACACAAAAAAAAACATTTTTAAAACACCAGAGAGAAAAAAAAATCTGTCAGGTTATTTAAAAACACCACAAAAACTTTGACTATTTTTAACCATCAAAATTAACATTGTGTCAACATTTTCATCTGCAACATTGTTTAATTTCTCCTACTAAATATAGATGGAAGACATTGCTGATCCGATCAAGAAATGAAATTACATTTAGAAACCGTTTGTAAAACCTGTACCAAAAACAAAAAACACTTAAAGGCAATAAACACCATAATTTTTATCAACATATTCCAACAACAAAAAGGAAAAATGTAAGTAAAACTCACTTACATTTGAGAAAAGTAGTTTCTATTTCCTGACAAAAAGCCATAATTCAGTTGTATAATTTTTAATGTGGGTTTTTAGTGGGTTTTCAGTTTTACTGAAAAACTGAAAACTCACTGCAACATGTTGCTCAATCCGGCAACACTGGTTGCTGGTTTCCAATAAACATCCTCCTCCAATCCCATCAGATATTTATGGATAAACTATAATCCTGCTCTCCAGATTAACCAATCTGTGTTCGTCTCCCCAGAAATTATAAATTTATCTGAACGAAACAAAAGAAGCAAGAAAGAAAAAGCAACAGAAAGAAAGCCAAAGAAAAAAGAACAAAAATGCAAAGAACAGAAAGACAGCAAAAGACAGAAAAAGAAATAAGAGCAAAAGAAAGTGAAAATAAGAGGAAGAAAGACAAAGAGCAAAGAAAAGAAGGAAGAAAAAACAGTCGAGAAGAAGAATGAAAAGAATGCAAGAAAGGAACAAAGGTACAGAGAAAGAAAGAAGGAATGAAGGAAGGAAAAGAGGGAGAAAGAAATGAATGAAGGGAAGAAAGAAACGACATGTGGAATTACAAATATTTTCCTTCCTTATTTGGTTTTCCAGACTTTTCCTCTGGACCAGAAACCCAGCAGGGCGTCCATCTTTATATTCTGAGCTGAAACCTGCAGGACTCGTTGTGGCAACGCAGCAACAGACGAGTGCATTAATCAGAATAAATGTGATGATTTTTAAAGCGCAGCTGAATCGATTTATAAAGAGAGACGTGGGCCGCTGCTCTTCATTTGCAACTTTTCACATGCAGTCTGTTGCCATCTGTGACTGAAACAGACCAGAGAAGAAGAAGCAGCTCAAACACAACAAATGTCCTCCAATGTTAAAGAAAACAGCAGTTTCATTTCAGCAACTCTAAAGTGCAAAAACACAAAACAATACCAAGTATTTTTGGTTTACGTTTAGTGTAACCAAAAATACACTAAACGTAAAATTATTTCAAGTTTTGAAATAAGACAAAACTAACTTACATTCTCTTAACCTTCCAGAAAAAAATAGAATATTGTTAAGGAAATAATTACTTAATGTTGATAAAAAAAGTACAAGAAACAAGGAGACTGGAAGAAGACAACAGAGTTTACAGCAGAATATTACGAACGAGTTAAGAAAATAAAAATAATAAAATTAGAATAATAAAGTCACATAATGGGGAAAAAAACTTAAATAATGCAAGAACAGTCATCATAAAATGTTTATTCTCAAAATATAACTTTATTCTCATTTTGTTTATTTTATTTCTGTACAACTTTATTGTTGAAATTTGACTATTGGGATATTATTATGACTTCATTCTGATATTATGGTTTTATCCTGGTGTTAGTTTTAATTTATTCTTGTATGTTTTTTAATTCTGGCAATATGACTATTCTTCTATGAGTTTATTCTCAAAATATGACTTTATTCTCATGATACTCTTTTATTTATGTAACTTTATTCTTTTCAATTTATTGTAGTATGACCTTAATGCTGAAGTTGTAGATTTGAACTTCTAATATAGAAAGAAATTTCTTGTTCCAGTGGCAGATTATTTCACTTAAAATTACATTTTCTTCAATATTAAGGAATTAACTTAAAACAAGCTCCTAATTCTTTCTGTAAAGTTACTTGTAAATTATAAATTATATTTGTCTTACTTCAAGTGTGCTAAGATATTTTCAGTAGAAACTAGACCAGATATTTTTTGTGTTTTTGCAGTGCAGTCATCCTGTTTCTGTTCTCCTCAGATTTCGCCATCAGCCTCGCTGACACTCAGATGACAAACTGTGCGTGCTGAGACTAGCTCACTGTGTAATTATGTCTCAAGATGTAATTTACTCAAAAAAAAAAAGAAGAACAAGTCAGAGCAGGATTTACCCACCCACAAGCTCCGATTTCAGATCAACAGCAACAATAAAGTCTTTTTTC